AGCAAGTGGTGGATAACGCCCTTCGGGACACCATAATAGTTTAATCCAGTTTTGTTTTTCTTTGGGTTATGATTATTTTTTTTTTCGTACAATTAGACATGCTAGGGGTGGATAATACCATGTGTGGCACTATCCTAATTTAATCTAGTTTTTTTTAGGTTAGTATTCTTCCTATCCTTTGGATTAGACATACTAGTGGTGGACCACGTCATTCATGTTACCTTCCTAGTTTAATTCAATTTTTTTTTTCCTTTAGGTTTACATTCTTTCTTTCCTTATAATTAGATGTTGATGCAATCAAAATTTACAAGAATACTAAGATTGCAAAAAAAAACTAAAAATCTTCCTTTATAATAAGAAAATACAATGCTTAAACTTTTAAAACGAAGGACGATACAACTTTCATATAGATTAAAACAAAAACAACACCTAAAGGAGCTTGCAATCATTGAGAAGAAAGATACATATGAGGTGGACACTTACGGAGTAAAGAAAGAGATAAAAAGTCCAAGACGAAATCGAAGAGAGGACAAGCTCGCAAGCTTTCCCAAGAAGAAAAGAAAAGGAACAAGCTTGCAACCTTTTCTAAGAAGAAAACCTGCAGGTTTTTGGCTCCAAAAATTTTTCACATAACTCTCTTCTTTTATTCTCAAAACCACCCATATATATAGTTGAAAAGAGGCAGCCAAACAGCCCCTAATTTCCTCCAGCCGAACCAATCCATAAGGGGGGAACAAAAGGCCAGCATGCGGTCTGGAACAGCAGCTGAAGAGGCTTCATGAGGACGGGAAAAGTCAACCACGGGTACAGGAAAAAACAACCACGGGACAGGAGCCAGGAGAGAAACTGAAAGGCCAAGGGAAGGGAGAAAGTGGGGGGGGTGGATGAACGAGGACACTCCCATTTATAAGCTAAAAAGGAGTTGAACTACAAGTAATAATGAGCTAATTTTCGTAGAGAATATGGCAGCTCAGCAAAGGGAAGCTAAAACCAAGACAACCAAGCCTAAACAAGGAAATCAAATCAAACTAAAAATAAGGCAAATCAGTTGGCCCCCTTTGCCTTATGTAGTTTTTATTATTCAAAATTTTAATTTATGTAGCTTAATTTTTGTCATACAAAGAAAACACAACAAATTTAACCATTGGTCAACCTTCATGATAAGTTCATCATAGGGATTAGAAAGGAATGTAGAACCCCCAAAATGTATTCAATATTTGTAGGTTATTTCATTAACTACATTTTTGATATCTTATTTTATTTTTTGCTGTCCTAAATTTTTTTCTTTAATTAAAATGAAAGAGTTATTGTCTTTATGATTTATAATAAGAATTAAGCTCTAATTCTTCTTAATTAAGTCATAGTGAAATATATAATATTGATAACAATATGTGCATCAATTTTTATGCATTGATCTTTTTTTTCTGCTTTTTTTCTTTTTTGCTCTTTGTTTAAGTATTAGATTTTGCTTATTGCCCAACACAACTTACATTATTTCTTAATTTTGTTGAATCCGGATATAATCTATTTCACCTCCATCAATTATGAAAATGATTTGGCCATATCCCATATAGACAATCACAGCTGACACGCATACTTTAGCTTTTTGTTGAAGGAAATGCCAAGACTGGTATCATCTGCACTATGAGCCTTATGCTTAACCCTATATAGTATCCTCGTAGCACACTTTTCTTTGCTTCTTGTACAAAGGAAATTACAAACTCTACATAGGTTAATATGATAAATTTATAATACAACTCATGGTCTTCAAAATCATTCTCTAATACTATTTATATGGTATATTTGGAAACAATTTTAGCTCCTAAATCTTTTTATTTTTTATCATATTATATTTGGCAAACAATTGGTCAAGCAATAGTAGAAAGTGGTTGCAAGAATTAAAGCATAATTGCATACTGATCTTTATGCTTCTTCTAACATAGATGATGTTCTTTTCGAAAAGAAATGCATATTAAGAAGGCAAAAGAAATGGAAATTGCATTCTTCGATCTTCTAGTTTGGTTGTACTTAGGATTAGATGTGGCAATTGTGGATAACACACTTCATGGGACCATCCTAGTTTACTCTAATTTTGTTTTCCTTTAAGTTAGGATTCTTCCTTTCCGTAGGATTAGACGTGCTAGTGGTGGACAACACCCTTCGTGACACCATACTAGTTTAATACATTTTTTTTCCTTTAGGTTAAGACTTTTCCATTTCTTAGGATTAGATGTGCTAGTGGAGGATCCTTCGTGGCACCATCCTAGTTTAGTTAAATTTCCTTTTCCATTAGGTTAGGATTTTTTTTTTCTTAGAATTAGAAGTGCTAGTGATAGATAATGTCCTCTATGGCACTATCCTAGTTTTAATACAATTTTTTTCTTTTAGGTTAAAATTCTTCCTTTCCTTAGGATTAGGCATGTTAGTGGTGGATAACGCACTTCATGGCACCTTCCTAATTTAATTTAATTTTCTTTTACTTTGGTTATGATTTAGTCTAGTTTTCTTTTTCTTTAAGTTAGGATTCTTACTTTCCTTAGGATTAGCCGTGTTAGTGGTGGATAACGCCCTTCGTGGCATCATGCTAGTTTAATCTAGTTTTCTTTTTATTTAAGTTAGGATTCTTCTTTTTCTTAATATTAGATATACTATTGGTGGATAACATCCTTCGTGGTACCATCATAATTTAAACTAGTTTTCTTTTCTTTTAGGTTAGAATTCTTCCTTTCCTTATGATTATACATTCTAGTCGTGAATAATGCCCCTCTAGGCACCATGCTAGTTTAATTAAGTTTTCTTTTTCTTTAGGTCAGGATTCTTCATTTCATTAGGATTAGACGAGCGAGTGGTGGATAACGCTCTTTGTCGCATGATCCTAGTTTAATCCAATTTTCTTTTCATTTAGGTTATGTTTCTTCCTTTTCTTAAAATTAGACGTGCTAGTGGTGGATAATGCCCTTCGTGGCACCATCCTAGTTTAACCCAGTTTTCTTTTCCTTTAGGTTAGGATTCTTCCTTTCTGTAGGATTAGACGTTCTAGTCGTGCACAACATCTTTCGTGACACCATACTAGTTTAATCCAGTTTTCTTTTCATTTAGGTTAGAATTCTTCCTTTCCTTAGGATTAGATGTGCTAGTGGTGGATAATGCACTTTCTGACATCATACTAGTTTAATATAGATTTCCTTTTATTTTAAGTTATGACTCTTTATTTTTTTAGGATTAGATGTGCTAAAGGTTGATAACGTCCTTCGTGGCACCATCCTAGTTTAATCCAATTTTCTTTTGCATTATATTAGGATTTTTCCTTTTCATAAGATTAGACATGCTTGTGGTGGAAAATGACCTTCGTTGCACTATCCTTATTTAATCTAGTCTTCTTTTCCTTTAGGTTAGGATTTTTTGCATTTATTAGGATTAAAGGCGCTTGTGGGGGATAACGTCCTTCGAGGCGCCATCCTAGTTTAATCAAATTTTCTTTTCATTTTGATTAGAATTTTTTGTAATTTTAGTATCAATAGACCTGGTGAGGGGATTGTGACTTTGGGTTATAAAGTCATTAATAAGAGTACACGTTTTAGATATCTTGGATCTATTGTTCAGAGTGATGGTGAAATAGATGGGGATATTATCAGCATAATTCAAGTTGGATAGTTGAAGTGGAGGAATACATCGGGATTGTTGTGATCAAGAAAACTAAAGGGAAAATTTTATAAGATGGTAGTGAGGACTGCAATGCTTTATGATTCTGAATGTTGTCCATTAAAAGAGAAGCATAATATTAAGTTAAGTGTGGCAGAGATGAAGATGCTCAAGTGGATGAGTGACTTTACCCTTAGAGATAGGATACGAAATGAGCATATACATGAAAAGGTTGGAGTAGCTCCATTAGAAGATAAGATTAGAGGGAGTCGCCTTAGATGGTTTGGTCACATAAAACGGCGGCCTTCCGATGACCCAGTTAGGAGAGTATAGGTATTATATTTGACTTATGTTAATAAAGGTAGAGGTAGACCTAAAAAGACTTGGTTAGAAAATATTAGGAATGACCTTTCTTTATTAGATTTAAATGAGAATTTGACTTTTAATAGCACACAATGGAGAAAAAATGATTCATGTAGCCTACCCCACGTAGTGGGATAAAGGCTTGATGTTGTTGTTGTTTGGTTATAATTTTTCCTTAGGATTAGATGTGCTAGAGTTGGATGACATCCTTCGTGGCACTATCAAAGTTTAAAACTAGTATTCTTTCCCTCTAGGTTAGAATTCTTCTTTTCCGTAGTATTAGAGGTGCTAGTCGTGGATAGTGCTCTTTGTGGCACCATCCTAGTTTAATCCAGTTTTCCTTTAGGTTATGATTCATTCTTTTCGTAGGATTAGACATTTTAGTCGTGTACAACACCCACTATATTAGTTAAATCTAGTTTTCTTTTCATTTAAGGTAGGATTCTTCCTTTTCATAGGATTTGATATGCTAGTGGTAGACAATGCCCTTAGTGGAACAATCCTAGTTTAATTCAAATTTTTTTTTTAAGTTATGATTCATACTTTACTTAGGATTAGATGAGCTAGGGTTCGATAACGCGCTTTGTGGCATTATCCTCGTTTAATCTAATTTTTTTTAGGTTATGATTTTTCCTTTGTGGCATAATACCGAAATTAGAGAAGCTTTAAAGAAAATGAAGGGTGGAAAAGC